AAGCTACATATTCTTTGACAAAGTAATCAGTTACTAATCAATAATAATTAGACTTTTTCACATATATAAATGAGAACACAAAGTTGCACTGCACTAAAAATAGTTTAACAAAATGTATTTAGAAACATACATGTAACGTAACAACATACATGTAACACATAGCATTGCCATTTATTTTGACATTACACCAAAAATAACATGTAGAATATATAAGAGGACAATTCACAGTCGCACTAGAGCGTAATGGTGTTCATTTTTAGATCGTCTACAACAGCTCATATATATATATAATTGCAAGCAGTTAAGTGTTATAAAAACAATTCAAAAAGAAGTTATATAAATGTTGATATTCCTTGTAGCCTAAGCAGTTTATATAGCACGTTTCATCCAAACTAGTTAAGAAGCAGAGATATATGCATACACTGTGATCATTATAAGAAGATGCATGTGTCATTCACGCAACATTGACACTGACAATATGGGACACAGATGGCCAGCTTGGTTTCCATACTCAGGCAAGCACTACTCTCATCCTTGTAATGACTGCAGCTGCATGATCTTTTTTTCTTCATCAAACACATTAGTTGAACCCAAATAAAAGGAGAGGGAAATACGTGAACTTGTACACATTGTTTGGTTCATGTGTAAAGAGGGAGAAAAGCGAAAATGGCACAATGGCTGTTTTTCATTGAAGCTAAATCAGGTGATTTCAGTGTTGGTGTTAGTGTGTTTGTGTTTACTGTATCATAGAAAGCATTCATCAGAGATCATATTTAAGGAGTTTGGAACAGCTATTATAAAATGAACACTTGGTGACTTATTGACACACTGAGACATTCTCGGTTCCAAGTACCAAGCATCCTCAAGATGCTTTTGGGTTTTGTAAAAAGGAAAAAAAAGAACAAACTGACAAGATGAACAAGAATAGAATAGAATAGAATTCAACTTTATTGTCATTGCACATGCACAGGTACAGGGCAACGAAATGCAGTTTGCATCCATCCAGAAGTGCTTTAGTGATATAGATATATTACAATATATATTAGCAATAATATAGATATGTGAGTATATTACAGAAATGGGTCTATTATGGTATGTTATAATGTACACAGTATGAAGTATGTTGTGAATATTCTATAACTATAAGTATGTACAGGCTGTAGTGAGTACAAGCTATGTACAGGATATGAACAGGATATAAATATGAAAAACTATACAGAATATGAAATAAATAACTTTACAGAATCTGAGATATACAGCTATACAGAAATGGGAACTATGCAAGTTGTAAACAGTTGTAGGATTAAAGAAGCCATCTTCTGTACATTTTCTGTTAAGTTAATCGTTTATTATTAAGTGCTTTCACTTGCAGTTTCTTCTTGAAGATCAGTAATTTTAATTTTAGGTAGATTCTGTTTTAAATGGGAAACATTTTAGGACTTAAAAAAAATAGATGCTTGAGGTGCAGTTTTACCAGGATGGTAAAGGCAGTGTTGAAGATGTGTAAATACCCAGTGCTAGGTGTGCCAACAAAGTTCTAAATGAAAATAGCTGTTAAACTTTTGGAATGAATTGAACTTGATTAGGAAAGCTCAGCGTTAGACAGTGTGTCGCACTAAATAGTAACATCAGCATATCTACATTTGTGTCTTAGATGCAAGCCCTCCAGAGCCAGATCGAGTTCCAGGAGCAGTCCATGGTGGAGAAATCCCTTGTCAGCCGGCAGGAAGCCAAGTGTCGTGAGCTTGAGACCAAGCTGGAGTTTGAGAAGACCCAAGTCAAACGCCTAGAGGTAAGAGCTAAACACAGGTTGGGTGCTGCTGGCATTGGTAGACATTTTTGAGAGGCTGGTGGGAGCATGAAAGATCCTAATAACGTCAGAAAGAAACTGTAGAAACAGAAAAAGGTCACCTTATGAACGTATTGCACTTCAAAAACATATCCATCAGTGTTGTGCTAAATCATATAATCTGTGATAATACTTATATATAAAAATGTAATGAGCAGCATGATGGTGCTTATATAGCATTGTTGCTTCACATCAAGAAGATCATGAGTTTGAATCGACTAATAAACAGCACCGTTCTGTGTGGAGTTTGCATGTTCTCTGCTTGTCTACAGGGGTTTGATTTGAGTATGCCAGCTTCCTCCGACAGTCCATGCAGTTAGTGGTTAGTTTAATTGATGATTCTAAATTGACTGTAGGTGTGAATGTTTGTCTGTTTCTCTGTGTTAATCTTGCAACAGATTAGTAACCTGTTAAGGGTATAACCTGCTACTTGCAATGAACTCCCCCACTCATCAACCCCGAATTTGATAAGTGGAAGAATCAGTGTATTTTTGCTATAGCGACCCCATGTGTTTAAGTTCCCTGGTCCATGCTACTAGGCAAGGCATGTCTGAGGACAAGAGCTACTTGACAGCCCTTCACTACCTAAAAGCATCAGCATATGCTGATCCCGCAACGGTCAGCCTGTCAGTCAGCTGCCTGGTTTCCAGCAGTCAGTCATTTGGTCAGCTTTTGTCTCAATCTGCATGTATGCAAATAGCCCAATAGAGGATGTTGGACCCTGAGACTACCCTCTTGTTTGGTTCACCCACAGATTCTTTGTTTCTCTGTTTGGTCAGAGGCATTCATACCAGGGGCCTGTTCAAGGTCATTTTGCAGGGCACTAGCAGTCCTCATCCTGTTCCTTCCTGCACAAAGGAGCACATACCTTTATTGATGATGGTTTAACAACCATCTACAGACCTGTCCAATTCTCCAAGAGTATGCCCGTCTCCTGGAATCTCCTCTTTGCTCTTGAGACTGTGCTGGGACTTTACAGTAATACAAAACTCCAACAATCAGACAAGTCCCTATGAGAAAGCACTTGGCAACAGTGGGAAGGAAAAACACTCTTTTAACAGGAAGAAATCTCCAGCAGAACCAGGTTTAGGGAGAGGCAGTGATCTGCTGTGACCACTTGGGGGTGAGAAGAGACAAGGGTGGACAAAAAAAATGATTAATTACAAAGTTGTGTAAACCTTTTGGAAATGGACATGTACCATCCTGGTGGAATTAAATTTCCAGCTGTGTCGAATTATCAGTAGTGACACTAAACCTAATCATACCATCAGCTGGGTCTAGGGATGCTGGTCAGTCAGAACATCGCCTTGGCTACAAATTTGGCCAGCAGTGTTTTGCTATATACTTTAATACAGATTTTCAACCACACAATTAATGTGTAGGTCCACCTCATTCCATAAAACAACAGTGCCCTATAAAAACAGAAACTTCACAGGACCCCTGAAGGCATCCTGTTGTATCAGGAACCGAGACATGAGCAGCAGGTACTTGAATTCAAGAGGTTGGGCCTCCGTGGATAAGATGTTTGGGGTTTTGGGGGGGATTTTTTGCACATCAGTGAGATACCTGATTGGTACAGTTTCTCTTAAATGTTACTTTCACCACCATTACTATACACACATTTTACATGCCATATCTATATATTTATAGTTTCAGTCTCTGTCTCTAACCACCTCCCTTTGTTGCTGACAGAGCCATTTAGCTCGGCTTAAGGAGAACTTGGAGAAGCTGACGGAGGAACGAGATCAGCGCAGCAGCAGTGAGATTCGAGAGAAGGAACAAAACAAACGTCTCCAGAGACAGATCCGTGACATCAAAGAAGAAATGGCTGAGCTGGCCAAAAAAGAAGCAGAGGCCAGCCGCAAGAAGCATGAGCTGGTAAGACAGCAATGAGAATGATATCAGTAAACTAAGCAGTGCAGTCACATGCTACTGACATGTTAGGACACCCTGCACAGCATCCACAAGCAATATATCAGCAACACTGAACTCATCAGCCTTTGGTCCAGACTAGCTGAAAGGTTCATTTTATCTCTTGCTTCATTAACAGGAAATGGACATTGAGAGCTTGGAGGCTGCAAATCAGAGCCTGCAGGCAGACCTTAAGTTGGCTTTCAAAAGGATTGGTGACCTCCAGGCAGCCATTGAGGATGAGATGGAGAGTGATGACAACGAAGACCTTATTAACAGGTATGGGGCCACTTATATGTGTAACTGAAGCTGAGGTTTAAAATCACTCTTTTCTGTAGTGGTCACAAAACGAGTTCTCAAGATTAAATCTGGAGAACATTATCTCTTTTCACTGGTGCCTGCCTTTTTTTATATCTAACTGAAAGACGGTTTTCATCAAGTTGGTTATAGTTTGACAAGGTATCCAAGAAGAAAAATTTCACGTTTAAAATGATGTCAACAAACCAATCATTGTCTGTCAGCCAGGACAGCTGTCATGTTGAGCTCTCATTGACCATTGAACATCAGCTCCACTGACAGCTCCAATGAAAATTGTTAAACAGTATACAATAGCTGTATCCTTTTTTGACAGAGTGAGATTTGATCTCAAATCACACTGCAGATTTTCATTCATATAAATTTAGCATGAATATGATATGCTTGTCTTTATAGACGATGCATTTCTTTTATTCTGTGCTGCACCAAAGATTTCTCTAACTGTGACCCAAAAGCTGAAATGCATATCATGCTATTGAACCGAAATATACATGCTATATTATGGAGGTGCAATAATTTGTTTGCAGGGGAAACTCTTACATCCACGTTGTAAAGACATTGTAAAGAAAGTTTAAACCGCTGGGAATTAAAGTCAAAGTTAATGGGCAGAGCGTATAAAACAGTAAGGGACAGGGTTAGATACACTAAAGTGATCTTTGAATAATGAACTATTTCAAAGAATGAAAGAAAAATGATTTCTATTCATTCTGCAAGGTCAGATTGAAGTAGTCTGTTCTTTGTCCCTTAAAAAGGTTCAGAGAGTTCGCTGAAGAGAAAAAAACTGGGTCGTCACATTAATTCCTGAAATTATTTGAATATCATTCACGTTTCATTTTTGTCATAATTTTTATTCAATTTTTTTCTATTTGTTTCTTTGTTGTTGTTTTTTTTATTTCTCCTGCCCCCCCCCCCTTCATCATCACCATCATCATCACCACGGCCAGTTTGCAGGACATGGTAACAAAGTATCAGAAACGAAAGAACAGAATGTGAGGAACCTGTTCTCCTTATGCACACACACATACACATATTTATTTATTTTATTTTCACCACTGGAAATGATGCATTCTAGTCTTTGAACATTTAGATGGATTTGGTTTACATCTAGTTAGACTAGAAGAGGTGATATTACAGATTGAAATAATATAGAACATGGATTTTGAATGAATGTATGAATAGACAAATTTTAGGTGTTGGTAGTTTAGAGTAATTGCTCCATTTCCAAATGCACTGATTTTCTGCAGTTTGTGCAAACAGGAATGAAAGCGTCATGTAAGGAGAGATAAATGCATCATCAACAGTGCTCAGAGATTCCCTTATTAACCATGTTTATTTCACATTTTATTGCATGCCATGAAGATGCATGAATAACACTTACAATACATTATGAACCCTCAGCATGAAAGTTTTCTATTTTTTGCACATTTGATTATCGTTAAGTCTGCAGTGGCTTGTTGTGCTCCACATCACCACTTAAAGTGAGCATTCTTAGAATAAAAACAGGAGGCAGAGATTTGTGAGCTGAGTTGAAGAGAAAAACATAGTGTGCAGATTATTGATTGAAATTTTTTGCTACAAGATGGATTTTTAGCCAGGTTGGCCACAACTTATAACAACAAAGTTATATACTTGACCAGCTTGTATGTTAATGTACATCCAGTGTCCCAGACACTGGAACAGTCTTTTGGTAGGATTAGATAGCACAGAATCCTAAAAGCACAGTCAATAATGATGGCTTTCTTGACTTTGTGAAGTGCTATCTGATTACCCATGATCCCAGGTACCTGCTGACTTAAAGAGATGCTGATTTTTATGACTCACATTTCTGCTTCTAGGTGATAGCATCAACACAATACATCATTTATTCTACTGTATATACCCTCTTTAAGCCTGGAAGCTGTTCAACACTGAAATATGTGAAAACCCGACAGACTTTACAAAAATATTATTTTAGTTCTGTTTCAGTCAGTTTATAAACTTACTTTTTGGTTAACCACAAGTGTCGGGATCTCTTTGGTCATCCCTCTTGAGAAGATCGTTCTCACAGTTCTTGTGGTCTCTCACACTGTGTTTATGTTCTGGTTTACCTGGAAAGTGTCAGTTCCTCTGTGTTGCGTTTAAATATCAGTTGGTGATGCCTAGCCTCTCGCTCCCTGGGCCCTCTTAATATTTTATTGCCCTGCTCTAGGGCTGGATGTGACTGTGACTCAGCAGTGACTGCCCTCCTGACAGGAGAAAGGGATCGTGTGTTTCTCATCAATCTTTAAATTGCACTTGCTTAATAATGCAGAACCCTCAAATGTCTTACAAAAAGCTGTCTTGCTCAACACTCGAACAGTTAACCTCTGGTTCTCAGCTATTCCACTACCTTGTCAGATTACTAATCAAAGCAGGGAAGTGTAGACTTCTGGCTTTCATGCCTGACTTATCATTTTAAATAATATCAGATACAGTTTATTCTTCATATGGTTCACATACTTTGTTTAAATAGTCATTTGCAAAGACCTGCACATCTTGTCCTACACCATGAGTTGTTAAATTAGGTACCAACAGTCACTAAGATATATATTTGATTTGATTTATGGTATATAT